TGTGTATATATGTGTATATATGTGTATGTGTATGTATATATATATATATATGTGTATATATGTATATATATATACACACGTGTGTGTGTTACTGTAAATAGGTTTATTGTACAGTTATTTATGAAAGCAAACGACTTCAAAGTAAACAGTTACCAACTAAGAAACTTAAATTTGCCAAATGAGCAGACGGTAATGTGTTATACAATGTAACAGTATTTTTTTATGTGAAGTTCTGGCAACACTATTACAAAGATTATTTGATAGGTTCCAGCAGTATCTATTGTTACAGTTCAACATTTAGTCATCAGTCTGGAATAACAAATCATCAGTAGGCACTGGCATCTTGACATCAACAGCAGAAACAGAACTACTTTAATACAAGCAAAGAATCACAGTAACTAACTTCACTCTTCCTTCAGTCAGTTACAGCATGAGCATGGAACAATATTAGAAATCTCTCTCATCACACTGGGTACATACAATTGTCTGGTTAAACTTAGAAGAAACATAACGGAGCAGCAGACACTTATTTTCCATCACTGACTCAATGCTCAGAATGTCACACAGAAAACATGAGGATGTTAATCATCACAGGTAAGTGTATCTAAACTATGTGGTGCATGATGAACTTGAGCATTCATTCTTTCTACACACAGGTGAAAAACTCTAGCGAGCTACAAACATCACCTCCTACACCTACAGAACGTGAGTATTAAAATGATGCACCAACATAAGCCTCTTAACTACTGAACTATCAGAAGCATAAATTCAACACTACTAATCTTCCTTGCAGTTCTAGAGGAATAGCGACTAAACCTTTAGTTAGGAGTACTTTTTAAACAGGTATGAAAGTAGATAAGTGGATTTACAGCTAGACTACTAGGTGAATAAAATATTATTCTTTGACAATAGTTTATGAAATCATAGTAAAAGTTAATTTGAAGTGAAGTGAAAATCATTGAAACAGACAGTATCAGTAGAAAAAAAACAGCCCGACTCTGGACCACTTCTGGGTGGTGTGAACTCATGGCTACATAGTGTTAGATTACAGAAGGCCAGTATGTAGTTGTAACCACAGTAACATACATGCTGCTCAGAATTTAAAGTCACTATTGTCTATCTCTCAGTTTGTAGAAAAGCTCAGAATATAACACACCACAGCTATCAGGGCATTAGGAGGAGGCAGGAGGAACCAGCTAGCTTGGCTTTGAAAACTATTCATAACAATGCAGTGTGACTGCGTTGATGGAAATTAAGGGATTTACTGTGAATAAATGTTTTTCCACACTGTTCACACCAGTATGGTCTCTCTCCAGTGTGAACACGACGGTGAATGTTTAGTTCACCTGATATAATGAAACCTTTCCCACACTGGTCACAGCTGTGTGGTTTCCCTCCAGTGTGAACATGTTGGTGGTATTTTAGACTACTTGATGTAGTGAAAGCTTTCTCACATTGGTCACAGCTGTACGGTTTCTCTCCAGTGTGAATACGTTGGTGGTATTTTAGACTACCTGATGAAGTGAAAGCTTTCTCACATTGGTCACAGCTGTACGGTGTCTCTCCAGTGTGAATACGTTGGTGGCATTTTAGACTACCTGACTGAGTGAAAGCTTTCCCACATTGGCCACAGCTGTACGGTTTCTCCCCAGTGTGAACACGACAGTGACTTTGTAGTTTAGCTGATGAAATGAAAGTTTTCCCACACTGTTCACACCAGTATGGTTTCTCTCCAGTGTGGATACGACGGTGCTTTTGTAGGTCACCCGATAGAGCGAATGCTTTCCCACACAGGTCACAGCTGTACGATTTCTCTCTAGTGTGAACACGCTGATGCATTTTTAGTGCACTCGATCCAGTGAAAGTTTTCCCACACTGTTCACACCAGTATGGTTTCTCTCCAGTGTGAACACGACGGTGAATTTTAAGTTCATATGATGTAGTGAAAGCTTTTCCACACTGGTCACAACTGTACGATTTCTCTCTAGTGTGAACACGCTGATGCATTTTTAGTGCACTCGATCCAGTGAAAGTTTTCCCACACTGTTCACACCAGTATGGTTTCACTCCAGTGTGAACACGTTGGTGTTTTTTTAGAGTACCCAAATGGGGAAAAGCTTTCCCACACTGGTCACAGCTGTATGGTCTCTCTCTAGTGTGAACAAGTAGATGGGTTTTTAACCCACTTGATCTAGCGAAAGTTTTCCCACACTGGCCACAGCTATGCGGTCTCTCTCCTGTGTGAACACGTTGGTGGTATTTTAGACTACCTGATGAAGTGAAAGCTTTCTCACATTGGTCACAACTGTATGGTGTCTCTCCAGTGTGAATACGTTGGTGACATTTTAGACTACTAGACTGAGTGAACGCTTTCCCACATTGGCCACAGCTGTATGGTTTCTCCCCAGTGTGAACACGACAGTGACTTTGTAGTTTAGTTGATGAAATGAAAGTTTTCCCACACTGTTCACACCAGTATGGTTTCTCTCCAGTGTGGATGCGACGGTGCTTTTGTAGGTCACCTGATAGAGCGAAAGCTTTCCCACACTGGCCACAGCTATGCAGTCTCTCTCCTGTGTGAACACGTTGGTGAATTTTAAGTTCATTTGATGTAGTGAAAGCTTTTCCACACTGTTCACAACTGTATGGTTTCTCTCTAGTGTGAACACGCTGATGCATTTTTAAATTCTTCGATGTTGTGAAGGATTTTTCACAGTGCTGACAGCAGTGACGTTTGAGTCCATCTCTTCCTCTCCGTTCCTATAACAGACAGAGAGAAAGAGTGATTGAGATGTCATGGTGCAATGTAAAGTAGTGAGTGTACAGCTTGTACAACAGGAGGAGTGGAAAAGGACTCCAGTGGCAATCTGTGAAGCTCCAAGAAATTAAGGCAGTGCTGGCAAATAATAGAGGCCTCATAAAAAATAGACACTTTGGTACCAATTTGGATATTTTCACATAGGGGTGTACTCATTGTTGTTGCCAGGGGTTTAGACAATCGTCGTGCGATCTATTTTAAGGGGACAGCAAATTTACATTGTTATACGAGCTGTACACTCACTCAAAATTTTACAATACCAGTACCAAAACCAGAACCCTTAAAGTGATACTGATACCAATTAAATTGATACCAACTGAACTGACCTGTTGTAGCCATATAGTGGTTGATTGGTAGGCTATTATTATTCTTACTGTTATGGACAAGTAAGACTACAGCTTGGGAGTTTTTTTATATGTGAATGAGAGAGGAGTGAAATAGTTTAGTGACCAAATAAGTTGTAGGAAATGCATTTAAAGGTATTTTTTGGTTGAAAGTAAACAACGGAAAATTAGAAAGTTAATAAAATAGCCTATCAATAAACTGAACTGAAAGATCCCCGCAAGTAGGGATGGGGATCGAGACCCGGTTCCAAAGTTTCTCAAACCCAAAAATCAATAGGGTTCGAGCTTATCGATACTGCTATCGAGACTTGTGGGTCCAATGATGTAACGTTTTGTCTCGAGCGTCAAATCTGATTTAATTTGAAACGCAAGAAAAGAAAATCATCAGGCTGCAGTCTGTCAGCTCCTACATACACACACACAGCTGCAGCAGAGCGAGCGGCTGTGCCGTCACGGTGTAATACGGTGAGGGTTAAGTTAGCTCCAAACTACTGTGACGTTATCTGTGAAGGTTCTCAGTCATCCAGGTCATAATTATCCAATGAAGGTTGAGGTCAAGGGCAACTGGACTTGGTAGAAGAAACTAGAAGACGTTTCGTCCCTCATCCAAGGGACTTATTCAGTTCTGACTGAGAGGTAAGGAAACTCAGCTATTTAACCTCTTGGATCGTTAATTTTCGATGTAAATTGCGCAAAACTGATTAAAATGTTTAAAAAATACCATTCACTTAAACATATTGAATAAGTAATTAATATTTTAGTCACAGGAATGCAATATTTTATTTTTAATTTAATACAGTAATTGTTATTATTGGTCGCACCACATGATGAGTGGAACAAAAACTTCTAAACCAAAATATATTTAAACCAGATATCAGTAACATTTAAAGGAATTTTCATGAACAAACATTTCATAAACATTTTTTTGATGGAACTCTCATTACAAACATTTATGTTGTGCAGTACACATTTACATTTTTGTTTTGAACAAACATAGAACTTGACAATATGTCAGAGGTGTTACCCAATCAGCAGCCACATTTAAAAGACAGTGAAGTCCAGTGGCTGGCCGTACGCAACAGGATGTTCAAGGCTCCACCATTTCCATTGAAAAAAATGCTTTGCTACATTTTGTTAGGATTAAAGTTGGCTTCAAACTCAAAATAACTCTAAATTTACTTGATTTATGTTTACATGTTGTTTAATTTGACCTGACAGTCACGTGTCTGTGATCATCGATCAGGGAAATCGAACACGGTTGTCCTTTGTAAAAGTCCTGGGTTTGACACAGCCAATAGAGGTCGTTAAAATATAATAAATCAAGTGAAGATGGGCTGCTACGCCAACATGTTCACAAAAAAATGCATTTCCTCCTAAGAAATGGAAACACGCACAAGAGCAACATGTTGCTTCATATAGTTTTCATTTAAAATTTTCTTTAAGACGCAACAATTCTTGCTCCGCTCTTGCTGCGGGGTCAAAATTAACATGCTGTCCATGGCAAGCAGTTTTCTTTACTTGCATAGTTTGTGAAATGGTTAAGTAAAATTACAAGTTCTAAATATTTTTGGCCATTTTTCTCATGATATTGTACAAAGACTAAAAATAATCCGTTGTTTCTAAAATGTAAGAAAAAGTGTGTCAAATTGCAGAAAAATCTATTCCATATCATACTACAATAAAAGCACTTTATATGTAAAAGTCAAATTGAATATAAAAAGGACAAAAACTAAATTGCCCATCATGGAAACCACTTTTCAGCGGTCGCACCACGATATTTTCTAATTTAGTCAAAATTTGAAGGCAGAGAATGTAAACAAAACTTGATGTTTCAATGGGTCCTTATCAAATTGGTATATTATTCAACTTCCTGTCTTCTAATGGATTTCAACATAAAAGTCCCGAAGTGGTCGTTTGTTGATGGTTGCACCACATGATATTTCATAAAATGGACATCGGACATCGCCTGAAACGATACTTTAAAAAAAGAAAAAACACACACAAAAAAACTGGTGGGCATTAAAGTTTTTTTTTTTTAATTTACTGTTGGTCTCTGTGTTCAATCCTGTTCAAGCCGTGTTTACTTGGAGGATGCTGAGTGCAGAATTCTTGACTAAGAACGTGGTCGGAATGACTCATGACCTGTCCAGCCTTCTTTTCAAGTGGGAGCGCAGGTCTGTCAGCTGAACTCCAATGATCTTGGAGCAGATTTTAACAATGCTGCTGAGGCTATTCTTGTCCTTCAGACCATCCATAAAACCAGCAGATAAAAGAAAATTTTAAAAGACTTTCAATAAACGAATAATAAAAAATTACATTAGATACTCTGGGTAACATTAAATAAATTTAGCTTCCGCATCAAGTAGATTCTTTGTTGTCCCCGCTTGGCGACAGACTGTTTTTGTCAAACTTGAGGTTGGAGTCAAACATGGTTCTCTCGCTCTCCCGAAAACACAGCGGCCAAGTTTGTGTAGTGAATGGTTAGTATCACGAACACTGCTGCACAAATCCAACACGCTTGTCAATGTTGGAGACCCACCTTAAATAAATTATTACCACGCATGTAAGGAGCCTAGCTAATAAGGATGGCTATGTTAACCTTACAAAACAGCTGGGTTGCGAGGTTAGCACGCTGTACATAGCTCCGTTCTAGTCAATATCGCATACACCCAAACCTCGCCACAGTTCATTCTGTGGGAAACACTGTTACTGAACATATTATAAAGTAAAATTATTAGTGCTGGGCAACGATTAACATTTTTAATCACGATTAATCACATGATTTTCTTGCAATTAAGCGCATTGTGCGCAATAGTGAATGAATAATAAGTAGTGTATTGCACACTTAATTTAAATGTACTGCTATATACACAACATGCAACAACATGTGGTTTGCAAATTCTTTAAACAAATAAGGTGCTTTTTCCCCAGCAGTTCCTTTTACACAGTAGCAATAAAATACAGTCATACACAAAAGTTTAGACACCCCTGACAATTTCCATGATTTTCATTTAGAAATAAATCGGGTATCTGGATCAGGAGTTTCATTTTGAGCTATCAAATAACTGAAAGACACAGTAATATTTCAGTAGTGAAATGAGGTGTATTAGATTACAATATGCATCGAAATGAAAGTAGACAGGTGCATAAATTTGGGCACCCCAATAGAAATATCAACTCAATATTTAGTTGAGCGTCCTTTAGCAGAAATAACAGCCACTAGACCCTTCCTCTAGCCCTTAATGAGTTTCTGGATTCTGGATGAAGGTATTTTGGACCATTCCTCCTTGCAAAACATCTCCAGTTCAGTTAGGTTTGATATTTGCCAAGCATGGACAGCCCACTTCAAATCACCCCACCGATTTTCATTGATATTCAGGTCTGGGGAACATTGTACTTGTTCCTCTGCATAAATGCCAGAGTAGATTTTGAGCAGTGTTTCGGGTTGTTGTCTTGTTGAAATATCAACCCCCGGCGTAATTTCAACTTTGTGACTAATTCCTCTAAATTATTCTCAAGTATCTGCCAATATTGAGTGGAATCCATGTAACCCACAACGTTAACAAGACTCCCAGTACCGGCACTGGCCACACAGCCCCAAAGCATGATGGAACCTCCACCAAATTATACTGTGGGTAGCAAGTGTTTGTCTTGGAACGCGGTGTTCTTTTGCCGCCATGCATAACGCCCCTTATTGTGAACGAATAACTCCATCTTTGTTTCATCGGTTCACAGCACCTTCTTCCAAAATGATGAGCTGGCATGTCCAAATGTGTGTTTGCAGACCTCAAGCGAGCCCGTTTGTGGCGTGTGCAGAAAAGGCTTCTTCCGCATCACCCTCCCGTACAGCTTATCCATGGTGCGCTGAATTGTTGAACGATGCACAGTGACACCATCTACAGCAAGATGATGTTGTAGGCCTTGGGCTGTTTTGACCGTTCACCATCCTTCGCCTCTCTGATATTTTACTTGGCCTGCCACTTCTGGCCTTAACTAGAACTGTGCCTGTGGTCTTCTATTTCCTCACTACGTTCCTCACAGTGGACGCTGACAGCTTAAATCTCTGCCATAGCTTTTTGTAGCGTTCCCCTAAACCAAAATGTGAACAAGCTTTGTTTTCAGGTCATTTGAGAGGTGTTTTGAGGCTCCCATGTTGCCACTCTTCAGAGGAGAGTCAAAGAGAACAACAACTTGCAAATGGCCATCGTAAAAACCTTTACTCATGATTGGATGTAAGTGTCTACAAATTTAAGGGCTTAATTAGCTCACTAAACCAATTATGTGTTCCAATTAATCAGTGCTAGGTAGTTACAGGTGTTGAAATCAACAAAATGACATGGGTGCCCAAATTTATGCACCTGTCTAATTTCTTTTTGATGCATATTGCACATTTTCTGTTCATCCAATAAACCTAAATTCACTACTGACATATTACTGTATTTTTCAGTTATTTGAAAGCTCCATATGAAATTGCTGATCCCAAAACCCGATTATTTATAATTGAAAATCATGGAAATTATCTGGGATGCCTAAACTTTCGCATACGACTGTATTTTATATATTTCTTCAATCTCAAAACATTAATGTAATCAAACCAAAGCTGCTTGCCACCGCCAGGGCATTACCTTTCTTATAGCTTAAAACAAGTGACCATCAGAGAACATTGTTCTTGTGTTCACTCGCACAGACTTCAAAACTTGAAATGACGTTAGAAATCACAGTGGATATTTTACAAGCTCGGACCAGGTAACGTTAAAGCTGCTGATGCGTCATGCGCCTCCTGCTATGGTGCCAGTCACCAAGCAAAGGGGCACCACGTTTTACAGCAACACACAACACTGGCGGAAAACGTGGGTAAAGGCGTCAACTCACACTGAAGTGTTTCCTATGTTGTTGACGTGCTGTTAAATACAGATTATTTATCGGTGCGTCTCAAAGAAGTAACGTTACGCTACTTCTGCGCAAGTGGACGGAGTCAGTCTGCTATGCTAGTTCCCGCTTTAGCTGCCGCAGAGCTCGGGAAAAACACCGGGTCCGATCCGGTACAGAAGTCCGTGTACTCACCCGGGTGCTGACTTCCCGGCTGTCCGGGTCCGGGTCCGGGTCCGGCTCGCAGTTAGCAGAAACTTTCTGTCCGGAGCTCGTCGACGTTACTGCCGCCATCTTGTCTCTCCGTGCGCTGAGCTGACAGTGCGCATGCGCTGCTCGTTGTTTTCTTTTCAAACGGCATCACCGTGGAAACGAGTTTAAAAACAGAAAAAAACAAAATTAAAATGAAAGAAGCGACTACTTCATGTTCACTATTTAAACCTTTCCATCGACCGTTTTAATGAATTAAAAGTGTTGTTAATGGGTCAATATCACTATAAAGTGCCTTTGGTGTCCTCAGAATGAATGAACTTATTGTAAAATAATTTAAGGTTTTATTATAAATGACCAAACATTTACACACATCAGAATGTGTTTCCTTCATTTTATACCATTTTCTTTGGTTTTTGCATGGCCCACATGCTGCTCTGCTAACTTCAATGAGTGTAATAAGTGGTTTAATTACACAAAATTAAAATAGTTTTTATTTGTAATAATGGTCCTTAGCAGGTTTGTTCATACAAGCCATTTGAATAATTTGTTTAATTTACATGATAATATTAAACATTTTGTAAGTGTCCCTGAAATTGCTGTCATTGTGGGGTAACTGCCTCTTTAAGAAACAGGCCGGTGTATTGAGTGACATCATCGCCAGTAGTCTTTGTTCAATGGAGGTTTAAACAACTGCTGGAAGTACATAACATTTCTACACTTCTATTCCTTAATTTTCATCATATTGTGTTTGTTAGATCCCGAGTCACCCCTGTTCAGGAGGTACTGGACCAGCTCTCCGTCGTAAAGGGTCCGATCCTCTGGGTATTACCCTAGTAGGTATAACTGAGGACTGTTTAAGCTGGTGTCGAAGAGATTCGCCTGGCTTCTCACTGTCTTCTTCCGAACGCCTACCCTGCTTACTCTTCTGACTGATACTAGCCTCCACTTGACAGCTCTCATTGATCAGTGCACTTGGTATAGTTGCTAGGATTGTGTTTAGTGGCCAGGAAAATAGGCCCCAAGGATAAGTTAATTTTGTTGGCTAGAGCAACCTATACACACTTTACCTAATGAATTACTACCTTAGTGAAGAAATAAGTTCAGTGTCTACTACTTGTACTTTAAATGCAGTATAAAAGGGGCAAATGGAACAAGGATTTAAATGGGGCTGTTCTCAAAATATCGATACAGAAATATATATATACATATATTGTTAGGTAATCCTTGATTATATGTGTATACAGATGCTTTTGTATCGATACATCAACAAATGACTGACATAACTTACAGGGAACAGTTGCTGTTGAGGGGTTGCTGGGGATGTTGCTGCTGCTGCTCTGGTTGCTGCTGATACTACTGGAGGTGATCTGTGACTAGAGATATTATAACAAACATAGGAGATATATTAGCTGATGTGACCATGACAAGATGTAAAGATTGCTGACAGTATTTGGGACCGGCTCACTATGACTGACCTGCTGTAGCTGCAGCCGCTGCCAAGGCTGACTGCTATGAGAAAATAAGAGGGAGACGCTCTCAGAGACGGCTGCACACCGAGAGCTGCAGGGAGAGGAAACAAGATTCCAGGTTCAAAAAAGTGTGGGAAATAATCTGGGAAGGAAACAGTACTGGGAGAAAGGACTAAGTTAGCCGAGGCAGGTGTAAGAGTGAGACAGATCTATAGACAGGTGTGTGTGTGTGTGTGCAATATTGTGATAATGATTTTATATATTTCATTGTTAATCGGAGATATATGGATTGTATTTTGATTGACTATATGTCTAATCATAAATCTAAAAATATGTGTGTGTGTTCTTTCTGTTGGCCCATAATAACCATGACAGAGCAGCATTTTATAACATTTCATACCTTTTTCTGAAATCTAATAGGGCCATTTCTTCTTTGATGTCAGGAATATTATTTATTTTATATTGACACTGACATTATTACATGTATTTCCAGTTATTTAGTTCATATAATAGGTTTGCTATCTATTCAAATACTGTTCTGATTTAAGTGATCGTTTGAAAACGGGCTGATAAGTAGGCTATAATTCAGAGGAATAAGTAATAAACCTGTTTTACCAAAGTTGTTATAATTATTTTAAGGCACACTACGTTTTTTATTAAGTTACTGTAATAATCCTAGTTGAAGTGAAAGGTTTTTAGTCAAATTATATAAAAAATACCAGACCTCACGACGCCCGTGAAACTTTTCTCCCTCAAACAGCAAGAATGAAGTGAACAGAGCAACTTTTGTTTATCTGTGTGTAGAAGCAACGTTATTTTGGGCGCAGTGTTAGTCGGCAGCTAAAGTTACTTCTACTGGCGACACGCAGCAATATGCAACTACTGTGCTGCTCTCTTTGCGTCTTTCTTGTAAAATACATCCAACAACCCACAACATGCACGTTGAGGTGAACCCGTCTGACCGGCGGGATCGCAGGAGTCCTGCAGGCAGAGCTGCTGAATCACTAACGGTGTGTGAACGGGAGGGCTCGTCACGGATGAGGTCATCAGGTGAAAGGTCATAATGTGGGTCATTTTATTTACTATGAAATTATTTTTACTAATAAAAAAATCACAAAAGGACCTTTACAAATTTAAAAATTAATTAATTAATTAATTAAATTTGTCATTGACAAAAGGGCACTTTGGGCATCAAAGGGCAAAAGGGCAGGTGCTCAAGCCCCCGTAGCACCCCCCTCTGCACGTGCATGGAGTCCAATGATTCTTCAGTTGGTTTGGATGTTGTGGTTACCGTCTGTGGCTCGATCTCTTGAAGTCCCCTGAAGAAATCTCTGAAGTGTTCTCTAGTTTGCTGTTCAAATCCCCGTCTCTTCTCTTGGGCTCTTGGTCCGGTGCGGTGATGGTCTTGCTCCGAGTCCGATGCCTCAGAGGTCTGCCGAGGAATAACCCCGATCTCTCTCTGACTCCTCTTTATATATCCTACTCTGTAGCTGAGTTTCTTTGTGAAATCAGCCACCACCCTTTTCTTGTCTACGTGACTACTGTCACACAGCTTGTTCATCTGTAAATTCAGTTGGGCCAGAGATGTCCTTGTTTGGCCATTTCATTTTCCCTTGCTGACCCTTTTGCAGTTATCTAACCTTTACCCTAATTCTCCTTACTTTAACCATATTATGTATTTTACAATCGAAATATCAATTCTGTTTATTAATCTTCAATATCAATGAGATATCCTGATTTTCAATCATCATATCATGTTTAATACCAAATATCTTTCTTTTATCATTATTCAATATATTGCTTATAGCATTGTGAAGCTCTGTGTTTTGCAGATGGAAGGATGTTGCACTTGTAAACATATTTAATTACCTATTTAAAAACATACAGTTGTGAAAATGTAAAAGAACAATAACTAGGTTATTTGGAAGAGCAAAGACGGCGACAAAGAGAACTGATTGCATCCCCAAAATGAAATGAAAACAATAACTTTTTAAAAAACAAATCATTCAGTAGTCACTAGTTTCCTCCCCAAGTCAAAAACCATTATTAATTAATAATAATAAAAAGGTTAGTGGCATGTCCACCTTTTATGAAAATAAACAAATTATTTTCAAATTGTATAAAATCTTGGATTATTTCTTTATGAACAAATGAAGACCAAATATTACTGTTTGATGGTTTGACCACATACGTTTGTTGTTTAGAGTTTATTTAGGAAAGAAAGTGCAAATATGACAGATGACAGGGTGGACATATTTTATGCTTTGTTCATACTTTGTAAGCTTGCAATTAATTTATAAAAAGTGCTGGAGCTTGACCAACATGCATTTCTAACAAACTAAGATCTACTTCATAAAATGTATGTAGAGTCAAATGGAAAATCTCAGCTTTGTCTTTTGGGAATTATGAAGTCTCAAAGGCACTTTATAGTGATAATGACCCTAATACAACATGTGTCTGATTTTCTCCAGAGCTGTTTCGTCTTCAGGTCAACATAAAAACCAGAGCAGAACATCTGCGTGGATGAAATGATCCAGTTCAGTTCCTAACAGAAGTCTTTCTTCCTACATATGGAAACTTGCCTTTGTGGGAGCTGGATAACGTATAGAGCATAAAGTATGAGGACCAGAGATGAGAGCCGTTAAACAGTTAAAGTTTATCACTTCAATAGATTCAGTAGACAGAAGGTACTCTAACAGGTCATAATAAAATTAAATCACTCATTCACTATTGAACAAGGAAACGATGTAGCATGTCGGCTAAATGCAGTAAATGTACCGTGATCATGTAACGAGCATTGATTAGTTCAACCTGATAAAACTATTAATATAACGTTGCAGTGGGGGTTTACCTGAGTTCCCAGTATATTATGTGAAGCTGTCTCCCTGCCTTTTTTCCGGGAGGATTGTGCCGATATGCCGGTGTCTCGCGTCGCTGAATGAAGTGACGTACGGCGCAGGTGTTAATCTGCCTCTCAGCCGGGAGCAGAGCCTGAACATGTCTGAATAAAAAAGCCACAGCCTGCATGCTGGTGTTCCTGCGTTTATTGCCAGATTTCTGTATGAAAGTGGTTGCGTTTCGGATTATGCTCAATCATGAGTTCAAGCAAGCACGTGTACGAGCACACGCCTGGTTGCAGTCTTAAAACCGCACCGCTAGTGGCCGCTGGAAACTACATAATGCCCCTTTAACAAAGAAACAAACCAGTTAAATACACTCATACTGCCACCTGCTGGTACAAAAGGGGTACATCAGCTCCATCTACTTTCACTCAAAAAACTGCAAAGCAAGTTCAACCATATAATACCTGTACTGCACCAAACAATGCGCTCATTAAATCACAGAGAGAGAAGTGACGTGTTCCCTGGTCAGTTCTAAAATATGTAATTGGATTGTACTTGCTACATGGACAGAATGTGTTGTTTATATCTGCGAGACAAACAGCTAATGAATATTATTGGCAATAAAACTGTACAGCATTGAAGCTGCACCACCGCGCCGACAAAAATCAATGTGTAAAAACTAAAAAAGTCAATATGCAAATAAAGAAAACCTCTCAGTGAAATCTTTTTGTAGAAATGTGTCTTAAGGAAAAGACTCTGACCCTGATCTTGCCCATTGAATAGTTTGCAACACCCTACTAGAGGACCTCAGTCTGCATCCTGGATCAGCATCCCATGTCTAAACATAACAAAGAAGCAGCAGGCACTTACTTTCCATCATTTACCCAATACTCAGAATATCACACAGGAAGCCTTAAGGATGGTATAAACTATAATGTGGTGCACTCCCTCTTTCTACACACACTGGCTAAAAACTAAATGAGTCATCTCCTATACCTACAGACTGTGAGTATTAAAGTGATGAAATGTCCCAGGCCTTTACACAGTGACTAGATTTGGCTTTATTTTCAGTCTGAACAGAGAAGACAGATTCCAAACCACATTCAGAAACAGAAAATAAAAACAGAGAGAATGAACGAATATAGATGTATGTAGCAGGATCCCTACTTTAAATTCAATATCTGCACTTGTAACATCTTCTGGGGCACCACCTTCAATCAAAGGAGAAATTAAAGAAATCAGTCTTATTAACTGATCTGTGAATTCCCAATACTTTGATCCTTAGTTTCTGCTTTGAAGAAATATTCACAGACAAAAGGAAACATTTATCTACAGCTAAATGTGATTAACAAGGGAATAAAGCCAATAAATTAGGTTTTAATGAGCTAATGAGTTACATGACATGAAACCAGATTCAAATAAATGCATTTAAAGTGTTTGAGGAATGATTATTCAGTTTGGCTGTATTAAAAAAGTGGAATGAACGCTAGTTCACTAATTCAGCTTTCCTCAGACCTACGTTCACGGCCTCCCAGCGAGGTGAGCGCTCACTGGAACGTGGTGGTGGCCGATGTGTTGAGTCAGACAAAGCCATGTTTCTCGTGGGAAGACAATGAAATAATAATGCAGACAAACAGAAGAGGTGAAGAAACAAAGGAGAAAGAGGCCGGACCCCCGTCAGAAAGGGCTCTTACTGGAGGAGGAGGAAAGGTTTTCATGTTCAAACTGTTGTACGCCTCATAACTAATAATCTGTCTTTGTGGTTTCTTCTACATTTATGGAACTATATAATGTGATATGTCACCACAGTCACACACTTCGCTTCACTATGGGCAAATTAATAGTGATTACAACAAAATAACAGGGTTTACATCAAGCATCCATCTCAGACATGTTATTTAAAGCTAACTCAGATTTAAAACAACGTGAACCATCACTACTTAACTATCAGAAGCATAAATGTTCAGCTTCTCCTTTTTTTTTTGGAACCAGCTGAATCCAAAGACACAAAGGAGTCTTTAACTGCTGTCAGTCCTGTTCTTCATCTTGTTATCAGGACAGAACACAGACCTCTGGGGAGTCAGAGAGTACCAGGTGTGGAAAGAGGCAACGTGGCACTTTGACTAGTGAGGACATAAATGTGGCCTCTGGGACTCTCTTGGTCATGCTAACTTGTTGTCTCTGAGTCTGAATCTGTTCATCTAGAAAGTTGTAGGAGGCTCATGTTCTCATCAATGTTTTAATGAGTCCTCGTTTTTCAAAATGTGTATAGTGGAGGTGGAGCAAAGTTAGCATGATGAACAGAGTCACAACAATTATGAGAAATCTTAACCCTTCGGGCCGACAGGTACAAGGTGTGGATGATGACCTCATGATCCTCTGACTTCAGACCAGGACAGACTCTGCTAAATCAACAGGACCAGAAATATCCCTGCGTCCCTCACATGGCTGGACAGTCAGATCCTCCAGCCAGAGTCACTACATTTTCTTTACCAAGCAATTCATAGAGAAAACTCTTGGCAAGTAGTTCTAGAAAAATATTAATATTCAAATAGTTTATGAAATCATAGTAAAATTGTAGTGAGAATCATGGAAACAGACTGAATCAGTAGAAACAGGTAGCCTGACTCTGAACCACTTTTAAGCTAACTCAGATTTAAAACAACATTAACCATAAACTTCCTAACTACTGAACTATCAGAAGCATAAACTCAACACTATTAATAAAACGGTAGCAGATTCAACGGTTAGTTTGATCCTACATATACTAACTCAAACTAATCTCACCTAAATAACAGAAATGCAGTGATGACAAGAATCCCATTAACTGTAGCCACTAGGTTGCAGTGTGGTTACATGGAGAAACAACTTATCAGACACAAGTTTCTTGCTACAATCCCATTACTGAGTCTGACCTACTTCTTCCAGGACCCTCCCTCCAGCAGAGGGGTGAGGGAGGGTGGCGTGATCTCGTGGCTACATAGTGTTAGATTACAGAAGGCCAGTATGTAATAACATACAACACAGAATATAAAGTTACTGGTGTCTGTCCCTCAGATCGTAGAGAAGCTATCGACACAGCTATCAGGGCATGAGGAGGAGGCAGGAGTGGAGGTGGAGGTTCATTCTGTCCAACAAAATGGATCAACTGCTTCTCCTCAACAGAACTAACTCGGACTTCTGCAGATCTGCCGCCTTCTGTTTTACAGAGTCCTGGTTCACCGAGCACATCGCGGATAGTGCACTTCACCTACTGGGATTTACACTTTTCCGGGCGGACCGTAAAGATGATTCTGAAATGCAGTGACTGCCCTCTACTGGGTACTGCAGTTTCATTTTGCTATTGGCTGATAAAACCTCTGGACTGACGCTTTCCAGCTCTTTCCAAATCAAACTTCCTCAGCTGTCATCACATGACGTTAGTCTAGCACAATCACATGATAACAGGTGGTGGTATTCAGGGCAGGAGGAAACAGCTAGCTCGGCTCTGGGAAAAATGTCACAATGATGCTTTGTCAATGCATTTGTGTCTTTTAAGGATTTTACTGTGTGTGTAAAATTTGCCACACATGCCACAACCGTACGGTTTTTCTCCAATGTGAAGACGTTGGTGGGTTTTTAGGTTACCTGATGTCCTGAAAGTTTTCCCACACTGTTCACAGCTGTGCAGTTTCTCTCCAGTGTGAACACGTTGGTGGAGTTTTAGGTTATTTGATTGAGTGAAAGCTTTTCCACACTGGTCACACCAGTACGGTTTCTCTCCCGTGTGAACACGGTGGTGGATTTTTAGGTAACTTGGTGTAGTGAAAGTTTTCCCACACTGTTCACAGCAGTACGGTTTCTCTCCAGTGTGAACACGTTGGTGCTTTTTTAGGTTACCTGACATAGTGAAAGTTTTCCCACACTGTTCACACCTGTACGGTTTCTCTCCAGTGTGAACACGTTGGTGCTTTTTTAGGGCACCTGATTGAGCAAAAGTTTTCCCACACTGTTCACACCAATACGGTTTTTCTCCAGTGTGAACACGTTGGTGGGTTTTTAGGGCACCTGATGTCTTGAAAGTTTTCCCACACTGTTCACACCAGTACGGCGTCTCTCCAGTGTGAACACGTTGGTGGATTAGTACTTCCCATGATGTCCTGAAAGTTTTCCCACACTGTTCACAGCTGTGCAGTTTCTCTCCAGTGTGAACACGTTGGTGGAGTTTTAGGTTATTTGACTGAGTGAAAGTTTTTCCACACTGGTCACACCAGTACGGTTTCTCTCCCGTGTGAACACGTTGGTGGATTTTTAGGTAACCTGGTGTAGTGAAAGCTTTCCCACACTGTTCACAGCAGTACGGTTTCTCTCCAGTGTGAACACGTTGGTGCTTTTCTAGGGTACCTGATCGAGTGAAGGTTTTCCCACACTGTTCACACCAGTGCGGTTTCTCTCCAGTGTGAACACGTTGGTGGATTTTTAGGGTACCTGATCGAGCAAAGGTTTTTCCACACTGTTCACACCGGTATGGTTTTTCTCCAGTGTGAACACGTTGGTGAATTTTTAGTTGACCTGCAGTAATGAACGTTTTCCCACACTGGTCACAGCTGTACAGTTTCTCGCCGGTGTGAACTCGTTGGTGGATTTTTAGGGTACCTGACCGAGCAAAGGTTTTTCCACACTGTTCACAGCAGTATGGTTTCTCTCCAGTGTGAACACGTTGGTGCTTTTTTAGGTCACCTGATTGAGTGAACGTTTTCCCACACTGGTTACAGCTGTACGGTTTCTCTCCAGTGTGAACACGTTGGTGGATTTTTAGGTCACCTGATGTAGTGAAAGCTTTTCCACACTGGTCACAGCTGTACGGTTTCTCTCCAGTGTGAACTCTCTGATGAATCTTCAAATTTCCAGATTTTGTGAAGGATTTGTCACAGTGCTGACAGTGATGACATTTGAGTCCCTCTCTTCCTCTCCTTCTCTATATCAACAGAGAGAAACAGTAAGTGAGATGTCATGGTGCAGCGAGCTATCTAAAACCATAAATGACATTAGAGCACATCTTTGAAATTACATACTAACCTACTGTACCACATAGCACGTATGTGCTGTCTATGAAATACTCAGTCATACACACTCACTATGTACTGCATACTAAATAAATGATCAGTGTGTTATTACCATGTAAGCCTGACTGTTCACACTTGAGTACTCAAGCAAATTTTGTAAAGGCTACAGTTCGTTTTTCACATTTGATGTAAAGAATTCCTGTAGAAAGTGTGAAAAGACAGCTGGAATTATTTTAAAAGCATTGCAGGAAATGCACAAGAGTAGGCATAGGGATCGTTAATTACGGGTCCAAGTCCAAGTGGGCTGGAAACCCTATTGTTTTAGCTCGGATTTTTATTATTCTTCCGCGGCCTAGACGGTAAGAGCTATAGACGCAAAACTCATAGGATAAGTCCAGGTCACTGCAGCGACCGCAGGCGCAAAAATTTGCACACTTCCTAAGGGGTGCTATAACCAGTTTTTTCACATTTGGGTTTGAAACTCCCGCTCACGAAAGCTTATATCAAAAACTTTATATCCACGCGTTCAGGGATCTGGTTGAATCTCCTGGTATAGGCCACGCCCATTTCCTGCACTTCCCCCCACTCCATCGCAATAACTGAAAAATTTTTTGATTTACTCCTCCGAAAGTGAAATTCCGATCGGCATCTACCAAATGTTTGCAAAAAAAAGTGATGCAATATCTTAGGTGGCCGATCAACACCAAACTTGAAGCACTCATGTGACATCCCCCCCCGAGGGGCTTTGCAAAATTTGGTTTAACTAGCCCCTAGGTGGCGTATTTAACCCGAAAAATTATAAACACTATTCACATTGACATGAAAGTTGTTGCCGAATTGTTCAGCATGGTCTCCTTACTCCAGGCACCAAAGTTGACCCAAATATGTTCATATTCATCCAGCTGTTATTGCATATTAAAAGTTTAAAAAAAATTCATTTACATGCATTTTGTATCTCCATAACTACATGTCCGATGGATACCAAATTTTGGTCAATTGTTCTCCATGGGCCTTGATGACACCCGAAAACTTTGGTGCAATTCAGCTTATAGGTGGCGCTATAATCAAAGCTCAAATACCCTGGGGAAATCCCATTCATTTCAGTGGGATTTGGACCCAAGGCATATTTTGCCTCATAACTACGCACCACTGCATCGCACAGTCATAAACCTTATTTCTGCATGTTTGGGGGATAATGCCGAATCGTATGGTATAAGACACTTCTGCAATGACATTTTCATTTTACTAAATCTCGAAAACTTAAAAACCCATTTTAATTCATTCCTCCGAAGTGGCAACTCCGATTGGCACCAAACTAGGCACAGACCATCTCTGGTTCAAGCCGATAAGTTTGTAGAGGGTATTTTGATCCCACAAAAAATGTACCAATTAGAAGCTAACAAATATTTGCGAAAATGCTAAAAACAGTAAGTGATGTCATATGTTAGGCTTGCAATGACAGAGTTCTGAACAGCCTACAGACAGTAAAGCACCTCGCAGTAATCTAAACGAGAGGAAATAAAAGCATGGATGATCATCTCCAACTCGCCCTTTGACAGCAGTGTTCTTAATTTGGATATATTCCTTAGCTGGAAGAAACAGTTTCTGACCAATTGTTTAGAGTGGTACTCTAAGGACATCGCAGAATCAAAAACACCTACGCTCCTGAGGCTCAGCTGGACAGACTAGCCTAAATCAACAATATGCTGTTTAATCTGAGGGATTCTACTTACAGGGGCGATAATCAGTGTTTGGATCTCTGTTTCCTTAAATGAGCAGTACAGTTGAATATCATCTGCATACAGATGGTAAGATATGTCACTGTATTGAATAATTACCTGTGCTGGAAATATATACAAAAAGGAACAGGATAGGTCCCAAGACAGAACCCTGAGGTACCCACCACGACAACCCTGCAGTTTCAGACATGATCTAATTTACATAAACACTAAAATTTCTACCAGAAAGGTAGGATGAAAACCATTTTAAAACTGTTCCAGACATCCCAACCAGATCAACCCAACCAGAGTCTATTTATCATAATATTTTGATCAACAGTATCCAAAGCAGATCAAAGGCCCAAGAGAACCACAACGGTGTATTCCTTAGAGTCAGCTGACATCAGAATGTCACCAGAAACTTTAAGTAATGCAGTTTCTGTGGAATGCTTTTTACGGAAACTAGACTGGAATTTGTCAAACAGCTTGTGATTCTCTAAGAAAAAGAGTTTCTCTGCTACAACTTCTTGTAGAATTTTTGACATGAATGGAAGTTTGGACATTGGCCTGTAGGTCTTAGGTTGTAATGGATCCAAGCTGGGCTTTTTAAGTACAGGCTTAACAACAGCATGTTTTAAAAACAAAACAAGGAACGACACCAGTTAAAAGTGAAGTATTTTGCAAGAGCTAATAAATGTAGACACAGCCCATGGACATCTGTCAGCAACAAGTTTACTCCCTGACCCCACCACAATCTCTCGAAAGTGCAAAGAACTGAATGCTAAGAGAGGTGACGTGGTTGAAGAAATCAAGGGGGTCATGGCGTTGATAAATGTGGGAATGACAACTGATGATCACCGTAAGATAAATTACATGTCAATCACCTGTCACTATGTCACACCACAATATGACATGAAGAGCAGGGTACTCACCACAACAAGCGTACCAAGCGACGCCAAAACAGCAAACAATATTCGAAAACAGTTGCAGCAGCAATTACTCAGTCCTTGGATTTGATGCGTCAGTGATGAATTTTGTTGTCTGGGTAACCGATCAGGGCGCTAATTATGTTGCCGCTCTTCGCCCATACCAGCGCCTGGGCTGTCAAGACCACCTGTACAACACTGTCCTCCGGCATGCCTTGAACCCAGATGAGCTTTCAGAAACAGTCCCAGAAGTAGCAGAGACCCTGCAGGCCACCGAGGCTTTAGTCTGATATTTAAAGCAGTCAGGTCTGGCAAGCCAGTTGTCAAAAACTGTCGAACAGATTGCAGATTGCCTCTAAATTAATGTATTGAATCATAGCCTACTTGGCCAACTAATAATTATAAAATAATGATGATTCATGCAGCGGCGAGCATTTCTGTGCGCAAAACGCAGCAAAGACGAGAGCACTGGCGGAGTTTGCGGAAGAGTGGGAAAACATTGTGGAGCAGGACGAGGATGAAGATGATGAAGTACAGCAATACATGCGCCTCAATCACAACATGGAAGGTGATGGACAAGATGTGCTGCTCTGGTGGAAACAGCACAAGACCCTGCTACCGCAACTGTCAAGACTGGCTCACTCTGCGTTTAGTGTCCCCGCCAGCAGCAGCGAACGTGTCTTCGCGCAGAGTGACAGAAGAGAGGAGGACGGGGTTAAAACCTTCCACTGTGGATGCTGTTCTTTTTCTCCACGATGCTCTGTAAGAGACTGTTCTAACATTTCGTTTGATTGGACTTTATTTTCGTTTAACTGTTGGAAACTACTGCAAAAAAGAATGTCGATGTTCTTTGGTTGCATTATAAGGTAAGATAACCTGCAAGTTTGGCGTTTATTTAGGTATTATTATTATTTATTTATTTAATTTGTTTAGATTGTAGGCTATTGCTCATTTTGTTTGCGAGCAGCCTGCCTGCCTCACTGTAGTGTTTCAAAAATGTGGTTTTACTCACTGTGGTTTAATAAACAAACATTTATTAAACTAACCGTCGGTGTGATATGCTTGAAGTGAGTCTCTCTCTCTCTCGAATTTTATTGTAGCCAAGTATTAGCGTTGATTTGAGAGGCTAAATTGATCAAACATGTTTTACTCGCTGTCAGCTTGGCCATCATGCGTTTTTTGTGCGTCTTGATATGATACATGTCCCCAGAAAATGTCGTGCATGTAGGTTGAACGTGAACGAGAGGCTAATTTTTTCCAATTTTCTAGGTGGCGCAAGCGAGTCATTTTGCCACGCCCATCCGCGAAACCCATAAAATCCGAAATCTTTCACCAGTTCTGACATGTGTGCAAAGTTTGGTGAGTTTGAGTATGCTCAGGTCCCCAAAATGGAGCTTACTTTGCAGCAAAAAAAAGAGAAAAAAATCTTTACAGAGTCAATAGGGACCTCGCACGGTCGTGCTCGGGCCCTAAAAACAGGCTCGGGCTAATAATTTTGATGAGCTGTCGGACACGGATCAGGCCTAGAGGCCCGAGCAGCGCTCTTAATAGGATCAAACGCTTGTACGAATAGCACATTAGGGAGAACATCTATAGGACAAGATGAAGGTTTCAATGTATGTAGCAGAGAGGTGAAGTCCTGTAATGTCAAAGGTTTAAAATATGACCAAGAATGAGCAGGAGACAGGTCACATGCAGAGTTCTGAGTAAGTGATGGTGAGATGATTGTCCTAACAGCTCTGATCTTATTTACAAAGAAGGAAGGAATTCATTACAGTCTGATTTAGAGGACACAGTTACTCAAGGGGCAGAAGGAGAAACAATTACATTTATAGTGTCAAACAAGATTTTACAGAGGAAAGTTAATGTCAAAGAACACACAGCTATGATCACTCACATGAACATCTTCTACACAAGCGTTTCCTATATCAAAAATCACTAATTAAAAAAAAAACTAAATTATATCATGGTCATATGGTCAGTCTCCAGTGTGGAAAAAACGTAACAACCTGTTTTTAACGTTAGTCATCAAATAACTGTAGACTGTATATGCAAATAACAGAGTACTCAATCGAGCTGACTTTGGGAATATCTGTCGAGGTTCAGACCGAGTGATAGAAGTGAATGTAGTAAACGCAAATGAGACAGAAGAAGATGAGACTGAGGCTATTCAGAAGGAGCCAGGTGGAGATTCAGGGTGAAGTAGTGAGGAGGCGAGCAGCGTTAAATCCAAGCAGCACAACAATACGGAACGCAGCACAACCCGAGGCTAGCTGTAGCAACCCGAGGCTAGCTGTAGCAACCCGAGGCTAGCTGTAGCAGCGGCAGCTGGATTGCACAGTGGATTTATAAGATGTCTGACCCGGTGTTAGGAGGGACAATCAACTAAGATGCTCGCGCCGAACGTGGACCTGCTGCCTTTCACAGGGGAAGAAGAAGAAGACCTCCAGCTGAATTGCTGTCACAATAGAGGCCAGTACCTGCTGGAGAGAGGAGGGTGACGGGATCCTACAGACAGACTCACTGGACTCTAGGTGAGAATAACTTGGTGGTGATGATATTCTGTAATTCATTGCGTTAACTTGTATTAACCGCAAATAAAAAAATTCATGGTCATGTTTGAATAATCAGAGAAACATAAGCTCCAAGAAATTGGAGTTCCAACCACTGACCAGAAAAGTTATGTTTTTAAACAAAGAAAAAAATACTGGGGAATTTTTAACTCCCTAAGTTACAGATAGGGAACATCGGGTTCTCCAGTCCATAGTCTGTGTGAGAAGACTACAGGAATAAATAATGGAGCACATTAGAGATAGACCGAGGTCGTCTGTAAAGGCAGCTTTTGTCTTGAATATATTTCTGTTGTATTAAATATATTTGTGTCACATAGTTGTTATGTCGGGTTGGTAGTTTTTAACAGTGTCTCAGTAAAGAAAAATAGTGGAAATCCCACAGGCAGGAGGAAAACTAAACTCCAGACTGACTCTGATCTCTACAAAGATACTCCACAGATACTATTTAGAGCTGAAACCTGCACGACGATCATTCAGAGAACAATAATGCAGGCAGACTGTTTGTCACTGAGAGAAACTCACCAACATACGAGCAAATATAATGACTCTGCTTCATTTTCACCATCATTGTTTGTTCTGCGCGCTCCCGACACAACACGGGCCGCACCGCGCATGCGCCGCGCGGGAAAACCCACAGAACAAAGAAAAAGAAACGCCATCTTGAAGATGAAAACAGGAACCACGGAGACACTTTGGAAATCAAACCACGTCAACACAAACCCTGGAGCGGGTTTTCAGGCTCTGATCTCTAACAACAGAATGAACGGATGATACACGGACCCTCGAGACTCTTCCTCGTGTCTTTAGTCTCGTGATGAAGTCATGAACACTGACCTGAACATCGGCGCTATCAGAGCACGAGGCTGCTGTTTGGCTCCTGCGGTCCGGGTTCTGGTTCTCCATCGTCCTGCAGGTCTCCGCTGTGACTGGTGGACCGTGTTGTCCTGGACTGAGTCTGGATTCTGGTCTCGGAGCTCTTCAGGCTGAGATACAGGAGCGCTGCGGGATCCCGCGGAGTGTTCTCGCGATGTCACGGCGTCTCGCCCCGCCCCTTAGTTACTGTCGCTAAGGCCGTTTAGAAACATGGCTCCTTGATTTCAGGCAGAAGATGAAGTTTAGTTAGTTGGTTTCCTGAAACCAGCTGATCATATTTGATGTGTATGAGGGAGTGTGCTTCACACAGAGCAGAGTTTTAATGAAGCGCTTGTTATTATCACATCAGAGGCTCATGAAAATATCCTGCTGAAGCTTTTTGTACAACAAAGACAGAAATAACTTCATGTGTCACATTTAATGTTGAATTTACAGGAAGGCAGAATCATTAAGAATTAGTCGTAGACAGCGTTTCACAAAGTTTCTAAAGTGTCCTCTAACTCAACAAGTCACTAAACTGCACGATTGTTGAAGGGAGTCTGGGACTTTCTCCCCGGGCCACAAAGGAGTAGCTATATTACGGTTACTGTTTAAATGGTGAAATCAGATGAAACAGACAGTTTGTTCACAAACATCTGCTGCTTCTCTCGGCAGCTAAGAGAGTCCAAACACATCATTAACATCACAGTGAAGCTGTTTGTTCACTTAACGGGCCATCGTGTGTTTGTCCAGGTCGGCTCTCTATTCAAATGGGGATCAGCTGCTTGAAAAGGCGACTGATGCGCATTTTCACCTCTCTTCAGGTGATCAGCTTGAATAGGAGGCAGAGAGCTGAACATGTGGACATCAGCTGGCTATTCAGCTGCATTAATGAGCAGCCCAAACAGATGCAAACACAAAGCCACTGAAGGAAAACTGTGTGTTGTGAATGTAGCCTGCAAACCTCTTTAGTCTCCGTAATACAGAAGAAATTAGAAATATAACAACAACATGTTATGTGATGCTCAGTTAATAAATAAATGCTGGTAGTTGGGAATAATATTTGGGGAGGATCTCTTCTCTGTGGCAGCAGCAGGTATTAAAAGCACAGAATATAAACACACAAACAGAGAAACACAAACCTGATAGGCCTATAAATGTTTACATCTTTTCCCCTCATCTAGAAAAAACAGTCACGTGTCTGTGATCATATTCAGGCCACAGATCTTCTGCTGGTTCCAGACTTTTATTGGGGATCATCAAGAATATTTGCCTTTATGTTACCAGGCACATTTAATGACAGATTCTTATTCAGACAAATTTCCTGGCAGGAGACAAAGGACTCCTGTAGGGAATGGATACTGGGATTAAATAAAACAGTGGCAGACACACTAGATGGCGCCAGAGCCCACTCAGACATAACTTAGTGCCTCCTGACTGTATTTCACCATTTGAAATGGAAACTGCAGTCTCGTAACTTTTAACCTCTCTGGATGTTCGGTCAGAACAATGCAAAAATAAATAATAAGATCGCATCCCATCAAGTTAATGGGACAGTTCTCTGCTTCACTGTGTGTTATTGCAAGCATTATTTTGTCATAGTCAGTCAAAGGTTGAGACTCACTCACTGATGTGTGCGACAGGCCGGCCCTTCCCCAGGGTCCACCCAGCCTCCTCTCCACCCTCTCAGTCAGATTTTACATGTCCACTCTTTCTCCACGTCTGAGGATTTGGATTGAGGATCCACTGATGTCATTAACCCCAGCACCCTCTCCCACGGCCCCCTGATCGTTGCCGGCCAGAGAGAGGTTCTTTTTCTTGGCTTAGGTCGGTGAGGGCTTTATATATGGTCAGTCGGGCGTCATCCAGTTCAAAATAAAGATATCAATCCTCCTGTGTATGTTCTATTATTCTGTCATTTAACGTAGGTTATTTAGTTTTGGATGAAGATTTTCAATCCAATAAAAACAACAGTTGTATTGTCTATCAGACAAGAGCAATTTTTTTTAACCTGTGAATGTATATATGAAATGTTAGTGTAGTTTCAGATTTGGATAAATATGGACGTCCATTTTGGGCCGAAATCTTAAAAAATGAGACAAAAAACTACAAACTGAACTCTTGACCGACAGACCTGATTTAGTCCAAAATAGAAGACACATTCTGCAGAATGTCGACACTTAGTATACATTTAGGTGAAGATGTACTTAAATGTATAATATATACCAAATACGTATCCCAAAAAATTTTAATATGGTTTAAACAGATGGAACTAGGTCCCAGCATGCAACACACACACGAAAAATGCAGCGTAGAAAAACTGCTTAATCTCTCCAATACACAACAAACAGCTGTCTTTGTGATCTTTATTAAAAGTAAGAATAACAGAGTGAATCAGCTGAAGGGCAGAGCTCCTACACCAGAGGGCTGTTAGAGAGTCTGACCCAGAGAAACAGAGAAGACGTTTAATGCTAGAGAATAATTGTGGAGTCCAACAGAAAAGCCTTTCTCAGCCTTGAGCCACAGTGGAAACTCCTTTCTCACAGGAAAGCATGAAACAAAACAATCTCACAGAAGGTCATTATATCAAAACACTGGTACACTAAGTGGAAATTATAACACCACATAAGATGAGCAAAGAACATAAAGTAATGACATATAGAGGATTATTAAAAGTACAGACAGGTAAAATCTTTGTTTCTATTACAGTTCCCCCTTCGGCCGTCCCATGGTCACATTAAGTTTATAACAGTTCATCAATGAATGCTCTCATCTTACTGTTTAAGCAGACATATCATTAGGAGACAAAAGAAATGAGCTTCAGCTGTTTTTATAGAACAGAGATATTCTTGAGTAATGAGCAAGTTACCAAGCAGTTTGGTCTAAATCATAAATGTTGTCATTGTCATGATCAGGTGGATTCAATCAGGTGAATCATTTGACATGTTGGTCGGCGTCCCTCAGACTGATATATTTACATTATATTTATACATTAATTAGCTGCAAACAGTACAAACAACCCGCAGAGGAGATGGTGCATGGGTTGGTGCAGGAGCCACGTTGAGAGCTTCAGTCTGCTTCAAAGAAGAGCTTCTTCAAGAATCAAAGAGAACCTTTTATTGTGAGCTGACATGTCTTCACCTCAGCTGTCATAAATTTGGATTTGCTTTCAGTCTGAACAAAACCACATTCAGTAATAGAAAATAAAAACAGTGAATATAGATGTAAAATACAGATTATTTAATGTAAACATGTTTAACTACAGCTCAGTAACAAGAATATATGTATGAAGCACACAGAAACAATATTTCATCAAGTGTGGAGCTTCATTCTTGACCTTGGGGGACACATCTGTAATAAATGAGTCTGAACTCAAGCCTCACACACCACCTCTTTGTTGGAGCTTTTGACCACATCCCATGGCCTTCTTAAAGAGTCACTAAACCCCCAAACCTCTTATTTCAGCCAATGTGTATGGGTATTTAGTAGTGTTGATGATGGATTCAGGTCCAAATCTTGACACTTTCCTGTAAACCAGGGGTTTTCAAAGTGTGAGGCAGGCCTCCAAACAGTTTCAGGGGAGGCTCAGTGAATGAAAGTGAAACAATATTACATTACTTAATGCATTAGTTATCAATCACATAGTATAGCCAACATGTGTGAGTTCAGATCCAGTAGTATTTGGGAATTGTTCCCCCTCCCCATCAGTGTCAGAAACTAATAAATGCCTTAGGACAGACCTTTCTTGGTGTATCCAGAAGTTACAGTCCCCTCCAAAAGTATTGGAACAGTAAGGCAAATTCCTTTGTTTTTGTTGTTCACTGAAGACGTTTGGGTTTAAGATCAAAGATGAGTGTGAGACAAGAGTTCAGAATTTCAGCTTTTATTTCCTGGTATTCACTAGATGTTTAACAACTTGGGACATACCGCCATTTGTACTGGATCACAGCATTCTTAGGGGAGTAAAAGTATTGGAGTAAATAACATTTAATATTTGGGTGAATAACCCTTGCTTGCAATAACTGCCTCAAGCCTGCGACCCATCAACATCACCAAACTGTTGCATTCTTAATTTGTGATGCTATTTCAGGCTTTTACCGCAGCTTCTTTCAGTTGTTTCGGGGTGTTTCTCCCGTCAGTCTCCTCTTAAGGAGGTGAAATGCAGCTCTATTTGGTTAAGGTCAGGTGATTGACTTGGCCAGTCTAAAACCTTCCACTTTTACCCCTGATGAAGTCCTTTGTTTTGTTAGTGTGCTCTAGATGTAAATACCAGGAAATAAAAGATAAAACTCTGAACTTGTCTCATACTCATCTTTTGATCTTAAACCCAAATGTCTTCAGGGAACAACAAAAACAAAGGAATTTGCCTTACTGTTCCAATACTTTTGGAGGGGACATGTCAAACAGCGATATTAGGCTATGTTGGCTCAAATGTTCAGTATCTATGGGATCAAATAATATAAACATCATCCCACTGGCATCCAGGAGTTGAGTGAAACTTACCAAGTGTACTAAAGATTTACTCTCTTCTGGGATGCCGTTTCCCACGCTTTGTCTGAGGGGAGGTCCGCAGTCTCAGACTTTGAAAACCCCTACGGTACACTCTGAATTCTACACGCAGTGCTAGAAAAATGCAGTGACTGCCCTCTACTGGCTGAAACCTGCCTACAACAGTTTATTTTTTCTGTCATCGCATGACATTAATCCAGCACAGTCACATGATAACAGGTAGCTCACCTCTGTGGAAGATGTCACTCTGATACTTTGTGAATGGATTTGTGTCTTCTAAGGTTTCTCCTGTCTGCATAAGATTTCCCACATTGGCCACAGCTGTACGGTTTCTCTCCAGTGTGAACACGTTGGTGGATCTTCAGGGAATCTAATCTAGTGAAAAATTTTCCACACTGGTCACAGCTGTACGGTTTCTCTCCAGTGTGAACACGTTGGTGAGTTTTTAGGTTACCTGATCTACTAAAAGATTTTCCACACTGGCCACACCAGTACGGTTTCTCTCCAGTGTGAACTCGTTGGTGGATTTTCAGAGAACCGGATTTCTTGAAAAATTTTCCACACTGGTCACACCAGTACGGTTTCTCTCCAGTGTGAACACGTTGATGGATTTTTAGGTAATCTGATGTCTTGAAAAATTTTCCACACTGGTCACACCAGTACGGTTTCTCTCCAGTGTGAAAACGTTGGTGGATTTTCAGGCAACCTAATCTACTAAAAGTTTTTCCACACTGTTCACACCAGTACGGTTTCTCTCCAGTGTGAACACGGTGGTGGATTTTTAGGGCACCTGATTGAGAGAAAGTTTTCTCACACTGGTCGCAGCTGTACAGTTTCTCTCCAGTGTGAACACGTTGGTGGGTTTTTAGGTGACCTGATCTACTGAAAGATTTTCCACACTGGTCACACCAGTACGGTTTCTCTCCAGTGTGAACACGTTGGTGGGTTTTTAGGTGACCTGATTTACTGAAAGTTTTCCCACACTGTTCACACCAGTACGGTTTCTCTCCAGTGTGAACACGTTGGTGGATTTTTAGGGTACTTAATCTACTAAAAGATTTTCCACACTGGTCACACCAGTACGGTTTCTCTCCAGTGTGAACACGTTGGTGCATTTTTAGGTAATCTGATGTATTGAAAGCTTTGCCACACTGTTCACAACAGTGAGGTTTCTCTCCAGTGTGGAGACGTCTGTGGATTGTTACTTCACGTGATGTGCTGAAAGCTTTGCCACACTGTTCACAGCTGTACAGTTTCTCTCCAGTGTAAACACTCTGATGAATCTTCAAATATCCAGATGTGAAGGATTTGTCACAGTGTTGACGTTTGAGTCCATCTCTTCTTCTCCTTTTCTATATCAACAGAGAGAAATACAGTAAGTGAGATAGTGGAGTCACCTATATAAAACCATAAATGACATTGGAGCACATCTAATACTAACCTATTCTACCACACAGTGAATATATATATATATATTTCACGTTTGATCTAAAGAACGATCAGGAATTAAGGTAAAACTAAAAATTCACATTCGACATCTTGTCGAAAGTGTGTAAATGCAGACAGCTGGAATTATTTTGAAAGCATTGCAGGAAAGGCCCAAAAGAGATTAACTGTCTGGAAATTGGCAGAGTTGGAAAAGTAAATTAGGAAAATAAATCTCCTTAAAGACCACACTTTTCTGTGAAAAAGTACGCAGAAGTAGTCAACAAGAAACAACAGAAGAATAAATCACATTGGATTTGTAAGGATAATAATGCTGTAATACTGAATAGGCTATATAAAGTTAAAAGATACTTAAAATAGGTCCATGAAAAGGAAAAGTTATAATGATGTAATTCAGTTTAAAATGTGATCTGCAATTTCTTTATTAAACAGGAGTAAATTAAAATGACCAATAATCTGCAGATCAGTAATCCATTGCTTTTTAGGTAAAAGGAGGATAAAAAGACCATCTGTGTTTAAAATGCCATCTTAATTACCTTCTATATAATTTTGAGGAAATGCACCTTAAAACTCCAATTTGCAGTGTTTGCTTTTCGTTTTTTAACAAGTTTCACTTTTTTCCACATACGTTTAAAATACCAGTTTGCGAAAAGGCAAGATCCTCTCTTTTTTAATGCAACACTACTACTGAAGTTAAATTGTTATCTTCTAACTTCTGAATTAATGATAAATGTATAATAACAGTATTTAGCTTGTTGTGCCATTTAAGTACTTTGTAAGGGTACATATTTTTATTTTATTATTTAAATAATCTGTTGTACCATTTCTGTTGCCAATGCCAATTTGAGATGGTGTGAAGGTATTTTGATATTTTTGGTAACTTTAAAAGGTTAAACTCCTCATCAAATTTGGAGCAAAATGCAAATGAGTACTTATCCTAGTATATTGCATGCCATACATAGCATGCCATACATAGAGGCTAACGCGGGATGTCAAACTAACCATTTTTATCCACACCAAAACACACAAACACCAAGCATCTAAATGAGCTTATATCACAACATAAAATCAGTGTAATCATTGTACATCATTGCTATCTTTATTGCCTTCCAGAAATCTCACCCTACACTTCCGTCCGACCACTCTAAAGAAAGCTCATCTCCGGCTCTGATTAACTGTGTAACTCATCACTCAAACCACTAAAGTCACAGACCTATTAGCCGGATAAAAATAACAAAACGCACCACTATACATATACAGTTCCAACCGCTGACTTACTTTTGCCATTTTCGCTATTTTCAGTCCAAAAACACCTGCAGGAAGTGATAGGAGGAGAGAGGAGAGGGACGAGAAAGCACAAGACTACCGGAAAGGGGAGAAGTTGTGTTAGTAACATGCAATAATGGGATGAGGTTGCATACAGAGGGAGAGAAAGTAGAGCTCAGTGCATCATGGGAAATCCCCCGGCAGTCTAGGCCTATAGCAGCATAACTAAGGGATGGTTCAGGACTCACCTGAGCCAGCCCTAACTATAAGCTTTATCAAAGAGGAAAGTCTTAAGCCTACTCTTAAATGTGGAGATGGTGTCTGCCTCCTGAACCCAAACTGGAACCTGGTTCCACAGGAGAGGAGCTTGATAGCTGAACGCTCTGGCTCCTAGTCTACTTTTGGAGACTCTAGGAACCACAGGTGCATTCTGGGAGCGCAGTGCTCTGGTGGGGTAGTAAGGTACTATGAGCTCTTTAAGATAAGATGGTGCCTGACCATTAAGAGCTTTGTAGGTAAGAAGAATGATTTTAAATTTTATTCTGGATTTTACTGGAAGCCAATGCAAAGAAGCTAAAACAGGAGAAATGTGATCTCTTTTCCTGGTTCCTGTCAGAACACGTGCTGCAGCATTCTGGATCAGCTGAAGAGTCTTAATGGACTATTTCAAGCAGCCTGATAAAGAATTGCAGTAATCCAGCCTAGAAGTAACAAATGCATGGACTAGTTTTTCTGCATCATTTTTATTCCTGATTTTCGCAATATTATGTAGGTGAAAAAAGGCGGTCCTTGAAATTTGCTTAATGTGAGACTTCAAGATTCCTCACAGTGGTGCTGGAGGCCAGGGTGATGCCATCAAGGGAAACTATATCTTTAGATAATACGTCACGGAGGTGCTTAGGCCCCAGAGCAATAACTTCAGTTTTATCTGAGTTTAACATTAGAAAGTTACAGGTCATCCAGGTTTTAACATCCTGAAGGCACATTTGAAGTTTAGCTAACTGATGAGTTTCATCTGGCTTGATCGATAGATATAACTGAGTATCATCTGCATAACAATGAAAGTTTATGGAATATTTCCTGATAATATTGCCTAAAGGAAGCATATATAAAGTGAAGAGGATTGGTCCAAGGACAGATCCTTGAGGAACTCCATGACTAACTTTGGCATGCATGGAGGACTCATCGTTAACATGTACAAACTGATACGATACTGATCGGTCTGATAAATAGGACTTAAACCAGCTTAGAGCGGTTCCTTTAATGCCAATGAAATGTTCCAGTCTCTGCAATAGGATCTGATGGTCAATGGTATCAAATGCAGCACTAAGATCTAATAATAATAAATCTTTATTTGTAGAGCACTTTTCAAAAACAAGTTACAAAGTGCTTTAACAAGTGTAAAGACAATAATACCCAAGAGACAATACAAAAACAATAAAAGATAAAAGCATGAAAACATTGAAAAGACTAAAATAAACATTTAAGATAAATATAAAATTAGTAAAATACAATAAAAGGGATAAAATAAAGTCAAATAAGATCGGGAAAGGCTCTCCTATAAAAGTATGTTTTAAGAAGGGACTTCACTGGAAGGGAGTTCACTGACTCAGCCGGCCTGCTTTCCTCGGGCAGGCTTAGCCTCGGGGCCCTGACAGCAAACACTCTTTACACCTTTAGTTTTCAGTCGAGACTCTGGAACAGACAACAGACCTCTGCCCGAGGATCTCAAGGTACGTGCTGGTGCGTATGGGACTAAAAGGTCAGAAATATAACAAGGCGAGAGGCCATGAAGAGCTTTAAAAGTGATCAATAGAATTTTAAAGTCAATTCTAAAACATACTGTCAATAGATTTTTGGGTTAAACAGGTGAAAAGGCTGTTGCAATAATCCAGGCGTGATGAGATGAAGGCGTGTAAAATGGTCTCGGTGTCCTTAAAAGTTAACATAGATCGATTTGGTTATGTGAAGCAGTTAAGTGAACTCGGCATTCCAGGGTCTGTGGATCTGACGGGCAAGTACATTTGTGTGTCATCAGCAGAAATATGAAAAGAAATGCCATGTTTATGGATAATATGTCTAAGGGGAAGCAGATACAAGGAAAACAAAATGGGTCCTAAGACTGACCCCTGGAGGCACACCATATTTAACTGGACAGAACAAAGAGACAGTTGTTTACAGACACACAAAACTTCCTATTTGACAGGTAGGATGAAAACCATTCTAGGGCAGTACCAGAGATCCCCACCAGGTGCCTCAGTCTGTCTAACATGATGTTGTGATCAATGGTGTCAAAAGCAGCGCTAAGGTCCAGGAGTACAAGGACTGAGCACATGCCTTCATCAGCAGACATTAAAAGGTCATTGGTGACTTTAAGCAGGGCAGTCTCAGTGCTGTGGTACTTCCATACAAATAAAATAAATAATAAAAATAAAATATTGTTGTTTTCCAGTACAGTGAGCAGCTGTTTGGACACAATTCTACTTATTCCTGCTCGGTGTGTCAGATGTTCAGTTACTCCTCTGCCTCCTTTAGCGGTAATGGTACGTGTAATAAGTGTAGTTTATTTTTAGACATGGAGGCGAGGCTCAGTGATTTAGAAGTCCAGCTCCCCACCTTGGTAGATCAGTCTTTAGCTACTGTAGCTAGCCAGTCCCAGGTATTCAGTGCGGAACGGCCTGAGTTAGCCTGTGGTAGCCGTCCCCCATCATCCCCTGTGCAGCCAGGAAGGGGTGACCTGGTTACTGTCCGAAGGAGGAATAGTTGCAAGCATTCAAAGCCCACGGGTCATCACCAATCTGTTCGCGTCTGACAGATTTTCCCCATTAAGGGAAACATCCGCTGAGAAACCAACTCTGATCATTGGCAGCTCCATTTTGAGAAACGTGAAGTTAGCGAAGCCAGCGGCCATAGTTAAGTGCATCCCTGGGGCCATTATTTTGTCTTACTGAAACCTGGCTGGTGATGAAGAATATGTTAGCCTAAATTAATCCACCCCCCCCCCAGTCATATTAATACTCACATTCCTCAAGGCACAGGCAGAGGAGGTGGAGTTGCAGCCATCTGGGACTCTAGCCTACTAATCAGCTCTAAACCTAAACTAAATTATAACTCATTTGAAAACCTTGTTCTTGGTCTTTCGCACCCAAGTTGGAAATCACTGCAACCAATTCTTGGTTCACTTTTAAAGCTCTTCATGGCCTCTCGCCTTGTTATATTTCTGACCTTTTAGTCCCATACGCACCAGCACGTACCTTGAGATCTGTTCCTCAGAGGTCTGTTGTCTGTTCCAGAGTCTCGACTGAAAACTAAAGGGGACAGAGCGTTTGCTGTCAGGGCCCCGAGGCTCTGGAACAGCCTGCCCGAGGAAATCAGGTCGGCTGAGTCAGTGAACTCCCTTCCAGTGAAGTCCCTTCTTAAAACATCAAAACAACACCAAATCCTACTTTACATGTAGGATGAGAGTCCCACCCTTAACACATCCACATGTCAACAAACACTCAATGTCATAGCACCACCTGCTGGCAACAGGAAGTGTCCCTTCAGCAATGCAGCCCCGGCGCACTGAATCACCAACATGCACAAAACTTGCGGTTCATGTATCATCCCAAGAACCAGAAAAAAAAAGCCTCTTGGAGCCATACCTGAAATCAGACAGGCCTATAATCCTTTTTAGGGGTTGTAACAGAACAGGTTTACGTGGTTTCATTTTCACAGAACACCATATATTTTGTCATACTGCACATTGCTGCAGCTCCTCTTTTCACCCTGTTTTGAAGGCTTTGTTTTAGCTATGGAGTGACACATGTTGTCTCTAAATGATCTTTGTCGGGAGTTGCACATGTGCAGTTCCTAGTTAAGGACTACTAGCCAATCAGAAGCAGGGCTTCGGTTCAGCTGTAGGCTACATGTTGCCGACCAGCTTGGCAACATGGACTGGAGCGAGAGTTTCAGAGTGGCGAGTTATTAATCTGTAACAAAAGTATCTTTCATCAATCAAGTTTTAACTGAGCTCTGTCTCTACATCACAGGAACAACTTTGTGTCCACTGACTGCCTGGAGGGTAGCTAGTGTTGGGAAGGGAGAGGAGAGCTGTGTGCACAGTTTTTCCACTGGTGTTTCTGAGGGTGTGTCGGAGAAGCCGCTTCGTGAGATTATGTTAATAAAAGACATTACTCCCTCAAAAAGTGAACATGTAAACAATTGCAAATGAATAAATATTTGCTATTGGAAGGTGCAACTTTTTCCAGCCATCTGTAAATAGAGAGAGTGAGAGATAATAAGCATGTATATTTCCCTTTACACATAATCTACAACAACTTAAATGTAGCATATTCACACCTAGTTCATCCTTAAAGCGACGAGAAACCAATTCGTCTAAATCATGCCGTCTATGCAGTCAGCTGCTGTTGAATACTACGTGACTGTCTACAACGAGGACCTGCAACTTTGACATTTAATTTAACCAACGTTAGAACTACAATCAGGAAGCAGTGTTAGATTCTTGTTCAGCTCACGTTTATTTACATGTCCGCTCTGGTTTAATCCTTTTAGACACGCAGACTAAGTTCAGACAGGCGGCTGGCAGATATATTTAGAATACGTCAGAAACTATAGTTTAATGGCTTATTAACATTAATGCTCCTCCACTGATAAACACGGCATTAGCTTTGTTTTTTAGTTTGTAGTTTGTCTGCGTGTAGCACCTTATCACCACAGCAAATTCCTCGTATTTGTAAAACACTACTTTTTTTAATAGTCATATCTACTGTTATAAACGGCCGATGAAATGCAATGGGCTCATATCAGCCGATAGACATCGGTAGGGCTCTAACTAACATTGCTCTGTATCTTTCACTGGAGGCTCAGCAATGTGAGCACAGCTAAATGTACTCGATGATAACAAATCGGTTAGTGAGCTGGACTGGTTATTATAATAAGATTGTTGTCACACTGTCCTGAGACGTTATGTTGCATTATTGTATATTATGTTGGTCACGTAAGTTACAGCGACTGAGACG